CTCATTTTAGGCAGCCCCTGCTCTAGGAAGCCTCCCTCTCCCCAGAGGGGACAGACGCTCCTCCTGTGAGCGCTCAGAGTATGTGCCACAGTTCCTCCAGCACAGCGCTGAGCACAAGAAGTGTGAGCTTGCCGTGACCAAAAATGTCCACCCCTAAACTGGATTCAAAGGGCTCTCAATTCCTAATGGCCATGGGTGACTGGAAAAGCAAATGGCCATCATCTCTGGAGGAAGATTATATCGTCCTAGGCCTCCCATTATTTTTGCAAATAATTTTTCAGATACCAGGCATGTGAGAGGAGAAGAGTTAGCAATGAAAACCCACAGAAACAAATGTAAAGAAAAGAAAAAAAAAAAGGAGCCACAGATGGTAAAATAGCTTTGTTCACTATGTCGAAGGTGATAAAATCTACATAAATATATTTCTAAATATAAACCTGTAGATTTATAATTCTATAAATTTTAAAATTTGGAAGGCGACATTTGAAAAATTAGAAGGCTAAAAATGTGGTAGGTAACCTGAAAACTTAGAAGGTAAAAAAATTAAAAATTTGGAAGTATGAAAAGTGACATTATATATATATGAATATACATCATATATATAAGTCAAACAGACATTTTGGAACTGAAAAATGCAACACAGCAAGTAAAACATTTAATAGATGGGTTAATTTCACATTAGACACACCTGAGAGAGGATGTGGGAATTGGAATATAGGTCAGAAGAAACTATTAAGGATCACACAAAGAGATAAAAGGAGAGAAACTGCAGAGGAGGTGGACAAGAGGTATGAAAATTCAATGAGAAGCTGTAGCAAACATGGCACTAGTCTCCCAGAAAAGAAAGGAGAAAGGAAGAAGAAGCAATATTTGAAATACAATGATGGAGAATTTCCAGAGAATCCCCAAACCTCCTTCAGGGAACGGACAAGGTCAGAACTACTTTCTTAATAACAACAGGTTCTTTTAGTTTGTTTGTTTGTTTGTTTGTTTAAAGTCAGTTTGATTTTTGTTATTCAAGAGATGTACCAATTTAATTTAAGGAATTATAAATAATTATTATTATAAGTAGCCAGCCAAGAAGGAGGAGTAGTCACACTTCACTTCCTCACATAACCAAAAGAAGGACAACAACCAGTTTAAAAACAAAAAACAACCAGAACTGCCAGAAAATCGAACTGTATGGAAGTCCAAAAACCAAGGAGCTAAAGGGGAAACATTCATCCAGACTGGTAGGAGGGGCAAAGATGGGCAGCTGGGGCAGAGGGGCCACAGCAAGGCAGCAGCTGGAGGACTGGGTGGTCCCACATTCGCATGCAGATAAATTGGAGGAACAGCTGGGGAGTGAGACAGACCGCAAAACCTAGGGTTCCAGTGCAGGAAACTAAAACCTCAAAACATATGGCTGTAAAAATCTGTGGGGGTTGTGGTGGTGGGAGAAATTCCCAGTCTCACAGTAGTGTTCATTGGAGGGACCCACAGGGTCCTACAATGTACACAGACCCACCCACCTGGGAATCAGCTCTAAAAGGGCCCAATTTGCTTCTGGGTAGCAGGGGCAGGGACTGAAAGTGGGGCAAGAGCCCAACAAGTGGCATTGTTCCCTCTCTGACCATTCCCCCACCCTGGTGAATACTTACGGCTCCTCCACTCACAATGTAACAGGTGTGCTAAGACAAACAAATACGGCCCAAATGAAAGAACAGATCTAAACTCCAGAAAAACAACTAAGTGATGAGGAGATAGACAACCTATCCGATGCAGAGTCCAAAACACTGGTAATCAGGATGCTCACAGAAATGGTGGAGTATGGTCACTCACAAAATAAAGGAAGAAGTGAAGGCTACACAAAGTCAAATAAAGCAAAATATATAGGGAATCAACAGTGAAGGGAAGAAAACCAGGATTTGAATGAAAGATTTGGAACAGAAGGAAGAAATAAACATTCAACTGAAACAGAATGAAGGAACAAGAATTCAAAAATTGAGGAGAGGCTTAGGAACTTCCGGGACAACTTCAAATGTCCCAACATCCAAATCATAGGGGTGCCAGAAGAAGAGGAAGAGCAAGAAATTGAAAACTGATTTGAAAAAAAATAATGAAGGAAAAATTCCCCAATCTGGTGAAGGAAATAGACATGCAAGTCCAGGAAGCTCAGGGTCCAAAAGAAGTTGGACCCAAAGAGGACCACACTAAGACACATCATAATTACATTACCCAAGATTAAAGATAAGGAGAGAATCTTAAAAGCAGCAAGAGAAAAGGAGACGGTTACCTACAAAGGATTTCCATAAGACTATCAGCTGATTTCTCAAAATAATCCTGACAGGTAAGAAAGGGCTGGAAAGAAATATTCAAAGTCATAAAAGGCAAGGACCTACATCCAAAATTACTCTATCCAGCAAAGCTATCATTTAGAATGGAAGGGCAGATAAAGTGCTTTCCAGATAAGGTAAAGTTAAAGGAGTTCATCATTACCAAGCCCTTATTATATGAAATGTTAAAAGGACTTAACTAAGAAAAAGAAGATCAAAACTATGAAGAGTAAAATGACAACAAACTCACAACTATCAACAACTGAACCTAAAAAACAGAAACAAAAACAAACTAAGGAAACAACTAGAACAGGAAGAGAATCACAGAAATGGAGATCACATGGAGAGTTACTAGATGGAGGAAGAGGGGGAAAGGTACAGGGAATAGGAAGCATAATGGGGTAGGTACAGGGGGAGGTTAAGAATAGTATAGGAAATGAAGAAGCCAAAGAACTTATATGTACGGCCCATAGACATGAACTAAGGAGCAGAGAATGCTGGAGGAAAAGGGGGTACAGGATGGAGGGTGATAAAGGGGAGAAAAAATGGGACAATTGTAATAGCATAATCAATAAAATATACTTAAATAAATATTATTATTAAAATAGCATTGTATTTCAAATGACAATATAGTGGAATCACCATTGATTCTTTCCCCATTTTAAAAATAACCTTATAGGGGTGACATTTGTTAATACGGTTATATTGGTTTCAAGTGTACAATTCTATGATACATCATCTGTATATTTTTCATTGTGTGCCCAGCATACACACTACTAAGGTCTTATTACTCCTTTTTCACAGTGTTAAAATTTGCACTCTTGGGGCAAAGACACTGAGGGATAAAACTGCAGGTGCCTGATTGTGAACCAAGGCAGTACCATCAGCTGTGTGAGTGGTTGTATCTGCACCGCCACACACTGGCAGTAAAATAAGAATAACGCCAGTTTCACTTAATTTTTACATTTTCATCAAGGACATTCTTTTTTTGTTGTTGTTGTTAAGATTTTATTTATTTATTTTTAGAGTGTGAGGAAGGAATGGAGAAAGAAAGGGAGAGAAACATTGCTCTGTTGTCTCTCTCACACGCCAATTGGGGACAAGGCCTGCGACCCAGGCATGTGCTGTGACTGGGGATTGAAACCGTGACCTTTCAGTTTGCAGTCTGACGTTCATCCCACTGAGCAACATCAGCCAGGGCAAAGACATTCTTATTAATTTTATTAAATCTTGACCCTTGAGCAGATATCCTTTTAATGTGCAGTGTGATGAAATGGGAAGGAGGCATGAGTAGAGCTCTCCTGTTGCACAATCACGTACAAGGTTTCTCTCAAGAATGAGCACTGCATGAGTGACTGAGTTGTGAGCAAGGTTAGCTGTGATTTTTTTCAATAAAACACCATTTTTACTTGAAAGAACGACTGGCAGACAAACCATGATTATTCGCATTGGAATATTTGGCAGATACTTTCTTGAAAATGATTGAAGTACATCTGTCACTCCAAGGAAAACAACAAACAGTAATTGTTAATGACAAAACTTTGAGCTTTCAAGCTAAACCTAGAATTTTGGAAAACTTGTATTCACCACTGAGAACTTGTTGACTTCCTAACACTTACATGCTTTTCAGATGAGATCAGTAGTGATATTAGCAAACGTGACTTTTTTTGATATTATAGAATGAAATTTGTCAACATTAGAAAGATATGACAGCTCAGTGTACTAACATTTTTCAAATGTCCACGATGACGTTACAAAATCATGATTGGGTGAAAGACCTATTTAAAGTACAAGATCAACCAGGAGGTTTTAACGTAACAGAGCTCAGATCACTCACTGCATAGTTTCAGATTCCACATTGCAGCTAACCTTTACGAAACCACCACTTGTTGAGTTTTGGCATAGTATCAAAGAATATCCACCATTAACTGCAAAGGCTATTCAAATTCTCTCCTAACTACACACCTATGGGAGACTGGAGTTTCCTTTTCAAACAAAACAACATATTACAACAGATGGGGTTTTTTTGGTTATTTTGAAATTAATAAATAATTAATACATTGACATTAATAAAGGCCCTCTGGGTCCTCAATAATTTTTAAGAGACTTACTCCCTTGCTCCCTCATTGCTTCAGCGTCTCCATCTGTCAAATGGGTACAATCATGGCCCCTGCTTCCTAGGGCTTCTCTAAGGGTTAAACAAGTGAGTGCATGTAACCATCTTGGCATGGGCTTAGCACATCAGCACTCATTTTAAAAAGCAGGTGATCATCTCAAGTCACTCAAGTTGTAAAAATGCAGCAAGGACGATGCCTCTCATGGGGTGACAACACAGAAACCAGATTCTTCTGGCTCTTGCTGTTATGGTGGTGGTTGTTGACTTGGTTTGCTTTTGTGGGGTCAGTTTTGCTCTTAAAGAATCAGCTGCTCCTTTAAGGAGACTATCTATACTCAGAGTCTATCACCATGGAGACAGTCAACCGTAGGGAATCCAAGATCCCTTTCACCTCTCCCTGGAGGCTGAAAATGGACTCTTGAGGCCCTTTTATCCTGTGAAGTTGGCAGGGTGTCATTGACTACCTGCTCAGACGGGTGTCTGGGAAGAAAAATAAAAGGCACTCAAACTCAGCAGCTTCATAACATCTCCCCACTCCCGAAACTGTAAACTGCGTCAAGTCAAAGAAACCCGGGCAAAGCCTCACCATGCAGTTATTGTCTGCAGTAGATCCACAGTCGTTGTATACTCCCAGCTGGAAGATTGAGAGCAAATATTCAACCAGAGTGCTCACTGGAAACTGGGTGGAAGAGAGGAAGAAGGTAAGGAAAAAGAGAAGGTGAACAGTGCTCAGAGGGAAGACGCAGGGAGAGGTAGGAGTGAAGCCATTACTATTTTAAAATCAAGGACCATAGGAAGCTGCATCTTAAAATACGGCATTTGGGTGTCTGTGTGCTACACTGGGGAGTTACATTCAAGCAACCCTCAAGGTCCCTGCTGTATCTTGAAACTATCATAACAGATGTCTCTACAGAGTTGTGCCTCATAGAACTATTTTCAGTGGAAGGTTTCTAGGCATTTGATGTTACCCGTTCCTAATTCTTCTAAACCTTGATTTTTTAAAAAGCAATATGTTTATTGATTTTAGAGACAGAGGAAGGGAGAGAGAGAGACAGAGAGAAACACCAATATGAGAGAGAAACATCGACTGGTTGCCTCCCATACGCACCCTGATGGGGGACTGAACTTGCAACCTAGGTATGTGCCCTGACCAGGAATTGAACCCCCAAACTTTTGGTGTAAGGGAATATGCTCCAACTAGCTGAGCCACACCGACTGGGGTTCTGCAGCTGGATTTGAAGAATCTTTGCTCTCCCTGGCCTGGCCCTCACTGGAATGTGGTGCCTGCGAGGCAGGCTTGATGTTCCCTATGTTGACATCCATAAGCTGCTGCTCTCTGGCACCTGTTCCACAGCCTTGCCCTGCCTCCTGTGCATTTCAGATTTTACTTCCAAAGCAGAACAATTGGGCTCATAGTGTTTCCATGTACTTTAGAGGCCATTACAAAATACTTTGAATTGGCCTACTTAACATTGACTGCCTTCATTTTTGGCAATCAAGGCTGAACTGAGCCACTTACATTTTTGCCAGGACATCTAAATATCCTCATATTTTCTTGGGAAATGGACCAAGGAAAAAGCATGATAGAATTGGCAGCTTTGGTGTAAGTGTGGGAAGATTGGTGGCAATTTCTGAGAACTGGAAAAGGCTGTTTTTATGGAGCACATGAGCATTCACCACCTTTCTGGCCTGACGTGACTGGTGGCCACTCTTTGATCTGAGTGCACTTGGTCTTATGTGAGAAGCAGATATGAGTCAGGGAAGCTTCAAGGCCAAAATCTTTTCAGTCTTTTCAGGCTCCTGTGGGCAAGGCAGCACCCACAGATACGGTGAGCTGGCCCTGTACCTAGAGGAGATTGCAAGAAGAGAGCAGGGTGGGAATGATGTAAGAAAGATAGCAGGTGAAGAAATTTCAGGTCCTTGCTCTACCACAGAAACACTAAAAAAAAAAAAAACTACTATTGCTGAGCTAAAATAACTATGTAGGGGCTCTGGAAAACAGTCAAAGCTCTATAGCAACAAATCAAATGCCCAACTGAGAAAAAGCCACATTCAAAGTGGCAGGGAATCCCACAGTATTTTCACCTGCCCCTTTTGCACCGCCCTGTCACATGGTGCAGTACGGGGAAGCAGTGGCCCGCTCCCAGGTCCCTCCCTCAAACCCAGAGGGAGTAGGGTAACATTCCAACCTGGGGGCTGCCTGCCTGATCGCCTCTGTTTTGCCTAACACAAGCTCGGACAGGGAAAAGTGGCATAGTTCATATTTCGGGCTGAGGAAAGCTATGAAAAGCAGCGGTAGCCACAGCTCGTGAAAGCGGCCAGGGGCTACGGGCCGGCAAACGTCAGGGGCAAGAGACTGCAGGGAGAGAAACACAACAGGACACCTGAGACCCTGAGAAGGAGCACAGAAGAAGAGACTCTTTGGGAAATTCAGGACTTTTAAAGAAGCCATGTATACAGGGGAAACACACACACACACACACACACACACACACTCACACACACACAGAGAAGCCCCCACAAGAGGCATGCTCAGAAAAGTCCTGAGAAGCACTTACTCCTTCCCACCAAGCTGACTTCAAGGCTCAGAACCTGCCCTGCTAGTTAGTAGAGATCGTCTCTTGAATGGAGCTAGTTTGCAAAGACTCAGAGAGGTGGCTCCTTTCTCCAATGCCCAATATTTAACAAAATCTCTTAAGGTGTAGGACAACACAGGAAAACATGGCTGACTCAAAGAAAGAAGCTAAGGTAGACAAAACTGTCCCTGAAGAAAACCAGGCACCAGAAATACATGACAGAAACTTTAGAACAACTATCTTAAATATCTATATTTTGCCGTATATAATGCACACCCATGTTTTTGGCCCAAACTTTCAGGGAAAAAAATCTTTTCATTTTAATTCAATTATTTATTTGCATGTATAAACAAAACCTATTATCATGTTCCAGGGTATTATTTTGCATCTGGATATTGTTATTGCTTCCTAGAGTTACACTCTTAATGCTTAAGCACAAATAAAATAATTAAAAACATTTATATAGATATGGAATTAGTATTACCCATGTATAATATGTACTACCCACTTATTTTACCCTCAAAACTTAGGGCAAAAAGTATGTGTTATACATAACAAAATATGGTACTTAAAGAGCTAAAAGAATACATGGACAAAGAACTACAGTTGACTCTTGAACAATGTGGGGGGTAAGGGGATTGACCCATCTCCTGTGCAGTCAAAAATTCATATATAACTTCTGACTCCCCCCAAACTTAACTGTTAATATCCTACTGTTGACCAGAAGATTTACTGATAACATAAACTGTCAATTAACACATATTTTGTATGGTTTTATATAATATATACAACATAATATATATGTAGTATTCTTACAATAAAGTTAAAGAAAAGAAAATCTTATTAAGAAAATTATAAGAAAGAGAAAATATATTCATTGTACTTATTGAAAAAAAATCCACATATAAGTAGACCCACACAGTTCAAACTCATATTGTTGAAGGGTCAACTGGAAAGAAAATCAGAACAATAATATATGAACAAAATGAAAATTTCAATAAAAACATATAACTTTTAAAAAGGAACAAAACAAGAATTTGGAGCTGAAGAATACAATAACTAAATTGAAAAAATTCACTAGAGACATCTAAAAATAGGCTTAAACAAGAAAAAGAAAGAATCAGAGAACTTGAAGGTATATCATTGAAATATTTGAGCCGGAGAGCAAAAAGAATGAAGATAAGTAAACAGAGCCTAAGCACTTGTAGGACACCATCAAGCTGATCAATATATACAGTATGAGAGAAAAGAAAGCATGAAAGGGGCAGAGAGATCATTTGAAGAAATAATGGCTGAAAACTTCCCAAATTTGAAGAAAAGACATGGATCTACAAGTCTAAGAAACTCACTGAATTCCAAGTAGAATAAATCTAACTAGACTAGCCCAGAGACACATTATAATCAACTGTTGGAAATCAAAGATATCGGGTATCTGGAAAGCAGCAAAGGAAAAATGACTCATCACATACAAAGGAGCCTTAATAAGATTATCAGTAGATTTCTCAGCAGAAACGTTGCATGCAGAAAGCAGTGGGGTGATATACTTAAAGTGCTCCAAAACAAAAACAAAGCTACCAACTATAGCCAGCAAAACTGTTCTTCAGAAACGAAGGACAAAGGAAAACATCCCCAGATAAACAAAAACAGAGGAAGTTCATTGCCATTAGACCTGTCCTACAAAAAACGCAAACAGAAATCCTGGAAGCCGAAATGGAGCAATGCTAGATAGTAACTCTAAGCCATATGAAAATATAAAGACCTCTAGTAAAGGAAAATATGTGGACGAATATAAAAGCCACTATTATTATAATAATTTTGATTTGTAACTTCACTATTTTCTACAGAACTTAGAAACAAATGCATAAAATAATTATAAGTCCATGTTAATTTGTACATAATATATTAATACATAATTTGTGCCATCAATAACATAAAGTGGGAGAGGGTAGAGCTGCAAAGCAGTGGTTTTTACATATGAGTTAAGTCAAGTTGGTATCAATTCAAAATACATTGTTATAACTTTAGAATGTTTTATATAATACTTGTGATAACTACAAAAATATCTTTAGAATATACACAAAAAGTGATGAGAGGAAATAAAAATGTATCACTAGAGAAAATCAAGCCCTGGCTGGTATGGCTCAGTGGATTGAGTGTCAGACTGCAAACCTAAAGACCACTGGTTCGTTTTCCTGACAGGGCACATGCCGGGGTTGCGGGCCAGGCCCCCGTTTGGAGGCGTGCAAGAGGCAACTGATGGAGGTATCTCTCACATGTCAGTGTTTCTCTCCCTCTCTTTCTCCCTTTCTTCCCCTCCCTCTAAAAATAAAAAAAAAATAAAAATAAAAAACCTTAAAAATCAAATAAATATAAAAAAGGGCAATAATGGGGACAATGAGAGACAAAAACCCTGTAAGACATACAGAAAAAGGGTAAAATGTCAAAAGTAAGTCCTCCCCTAACAGTAATTACTTTACACGTAAATAGATTAAACTCTTAAAGAAAAGACAGAGATTGGCAGAATTGGTGGTGGTCGGGGGGAACCCAGGATCCAACTATATGCCATCTATGAGATTGTCTTTAGATCTAAGGACATGCATAGGTTGAAAGTGAAAGGGTAGAGAAAGATATTCCATGCAGATAGTAAACAAAATAAAGTGGAGTGGCAATATTAATATTATAAAAAACAGACTTTAGGTCAAAAGATGTTCCAAGAAACAAAGAGAAACAGTATATATTGAAGAAAAGGTTATGAAGAAACAGAAAATCTAAATAGACTGATAACTGGTAAGGAAATTAAGTTAGTAATCAAATACTTCTCAAAAAATAAAAGTCCAGGACTAATGGCTTCACTGGTGAATTTTACTTAGTATTTAACTACCTCAGCATAATAAAGGCTGTGTATCAAAAGCCCATAGCTAATATCTGACTCATTGGTTAAAGACCAAAAGCTTTTCTTCTAAGACAAGGATGCTGCTTTTGCCACTTCTAGTTAACATTGCATTAAAAGTTCTAGACAGAGCAAGGAAAAGAAACAAAATTCATAGAATTGGAAAGAAAGAAGTAAAATTATCTCTATACGACATGATCTTATATGTGTAAAAACCCTAATCCCCCTCAACCATATACACCCCCCCCATTAAAATGAATAAACAAATTGAACAAACAAAGTAGCAGGGTGCAAAATCAACATGCAGGAATCAGTGGCACTTCTATACACTGGCAATGGACAATTTGAAAAAGGAAATTAAGAAAACAATTTTGTTTATAATAGCATGAAAAAGAACAAAATACTTGGAAATACACTTGAAGAAGGAAAACATCTTAGTCATTAAAAACAGCAAGTCATTGTTGAAAGAAATAAAAGAGGACATCGATGTATGAAATGGCATCCCGTGGTCATGGGTTGGAAGACGTCATATTGTTAAGACGCCAGTACCACCTAAAACTATCTTCCGATTCAGTACGACCTCTATGATATTTTTTCGCACAAGTTTAAAATCCACCATAAAATTTGTTGGGAGTCTCAGGACACTCTGAACAGAGAAAAAATCTTGAGAAGAAGAACAAATTTGAAAGACTCACATTCTCTGATTTCAAAACTTATTACAAAGCTACAATAATCAAAATAGTGGGGTCCTGGTATATAGGCAGACATATAAACCAATGGAGTAGAACAAAGAACCCAGAAATAAACCTTCACATATCTAACCAGACAATTTCAAAGGATAACAAGACCATTCAATAAAAAAAGAACTATTTTTCTCAACAAATGGTGTTGGGAAAACTATATATCCTTATGCAAAAGAAAAAGGACACTTACCTTGCATAATATACAAATATCAATTAAAAATGGATCAAAGACATAAAGACCTAAAACTAGAAAACTCTCAGAAGAAAACATGGGAAAATATCTTCATGACACTGAATTTGGCAATCATTTCTTGGATATGATGCCAAAAACATTGGCAACAACAACAAAATAGATAAATTACACTTCACCAAAATTAAAAACTTTTATGCATCAAAAAACACTATCTACAAAGTGTGAAGGCAACTCACAGAAAGGGAGAAAATATTTCCAAATCTAAGTGATAAAGGAATAATATCCAGCATATATAAAGAATTCTTACAACTGAACAACAACAACAACAATGACAACAAAACCCAATTAAAAATTGGTAAAGAACTTGAATAGACATTTCTTCAAAGAAGATAGACAAATGATCGGTAAGTGCATGCAAAGATGCTCAACATCTCTAATCATTAGGGAAAAACCAGTCAAAACCATAATGAGATACCCCTTCACACTCATTAGAATGGCTGTTATTTAAAAAAACAAACAAACAGAAAATAACAAGTGTCAGTGAGGATGTGAAGAAGTTGGAACCATTGTCCAGTGACGGTAGGGATGTAAAATGGTACCGTCACTGTGGTAGACAGTATGGCATTTCCTCACAAAGTTAAACACAGAACTACCATATGACTCAGCGATTCCACTTCTGGGTATATAATCCCCCTCCAAATTAAAAGCAGGATCTCTAAGAGAGATATTTGTACATTGATTTGTACACTGCTTATTGACAGTAGCCAAAGGATAGAAGTAATTCAAGATAAATGGATAAATGGATAAGCAAAACGCGGCCTATACGTGCAAGGGAATATTATTTAGCCTTTAAAAAGAAAAACATTCTGACACATGCTACAATGATGACCTTGAGGACATTATGCACAAATCCTGGATGACCGCACATACCTGAGGTACCTTGAGCAGCCAAATCCACAGAGATGGGAAGTAGAATGGTGGGTGCCAGGGGCTGGGGGGCGGGGCCAGGGGGCGTAGCCGAACAGGGACGCCGTTTCAGTTTGAGAGGATGAAAAAGTTCTGGAAATGGATGGATGGCAGCGGTGGTTGCACAATCATGTGCATGCACTTAATGCCCCTGGACGGTACACTTAAAAATGGCTAAAATGGTACGTTTCATTATGTGTATTTTACCCCAACAAAAATGTAAAATATCAACCAGAAAACATCATATACTAGGGGGAGAAAAGGGCGAGCTGGGAAGAGTGAAAACCAAGAGGAGCAGGAAGGGGAGGAGGCCAGCAGGGAGGGAGGAGGTGAGGGGGGGGCGGGGCGGACCCTGAGTGCTGCTCAGGTGACTGCCGTGTCGGTTTCCCTGAGGCGCCCTGGATGGCGGGGCACACGCTTCTTCCCCAGCACGGGAAGGAAGGGACAGAATTAAGCCTGCGTTTGGCAGCATGCTCTGGGGTCCTGATTTAGCCTTTCCCCGCCCAGCTTCTGATGGCCCAGGGGGTGAGGGGTCGCAGCAGAAGTTTGGGAAGGGACGTCACAGAAGTTGTCTTGAATATTTGATCTTTTCCAGTTCACCAAAGCCACCGAGAAGACACCCCAGTCCGTGTACAGGAAGGAGTACGTCCCCTTCCCTGGCCACAGACCAGACCAGATCTCCAGGTGGTATGGGATGAAGAGAGTTGAGGTGAGAGGGAGTGGGGGTCCCACGCTCAGCCTGGGCCCCTCCCCAGACCTCAGACTTCCCAGCAGCCAGCTTGTTCTTGGCCTCGTGCCCTCTTGAGAACACAGGAGTAGGCTCATCAGTGCTGTCCCCAGGCCAGGGCCTACAGATGGCAGCGACCTTTATGACCCCATGAGCGGAGATCTGTCCAATATTAAGCTGGTAGCCCCCCCCAGCCTCCGCACCCCAGCCCTTTTGTGCTTCATCTTCCCCATCCCTCCACTCCTCTCCAACAGGATACAGGCAGAGGATGTAGGAAACAAACAGCAAGCACGGTCAATATTGAACTAGGTGGCAATGGTGAGGGGTCACATAGGGTTCTCCCAAAGCAAGTGGCAGTGATGTTTGGATGACAGTGCTTGGTGTCACCTAAGCCCTGGCGTCCTGTTCTTTTGCATAAAAAGTCAAGGACACATTCAGCACCCTCTCACTCCCTGGTGACATGTCTGTGACATGTCATGCTCCAGGCCTGCGGAGCACGGAGCGGGGGGGGAGGGGGGGGCTGCAACCTCCCACTACCCCTGCCCCACCCTACATCTGCATGAAGGCAGGGCGGGGGCAGAGAGGCACTGAATGGGGGAGGACATCTGTCAGAATGGGAGCATTTTGGAGCTGAAAGAGATTGTTGAGCTCAGCACCCTCATTTTCCCATAAAATGTGCCCAAGGGTGGTGAGTGCCATGTCTGGAGCGGTGTAGCTAAGGGACAAAGCAGGGGCCTGCGCTGAGAATCAAGCATGCAGTGTCCTGAGGTGGCCCTTCAACCCGCACCGGAGTTGCCTCCTGCATCTGGAGACCCACGTCGGGAGCACCAGGGCCTCAGCTCTGCGCTGGCCTCCTCGGACCAGGCTATGGCGCTGGGGCTGCTGCCGACCTCACCCTTCATGTGTGCCGAAGACGCAGGGGCATTCTAATGTAAGGAAGAAAAATCAGAACTCACGGTCGGGCCTTCCAGTCCCCAACCATCAGTGCACACGAGGCACTTAGCGTCATCTTCCATGCACATGAGGCGCTTTCTTTCTTTCTCTTTCTTTCTTTCTCTTTCTTTCTTTCTTTCTTTCTTTCTTTCTAACTTTCTTTCTTTCTTTCTTTCTTTCTTTCTTTCTTTCTTTCTTTCTTTCTTTCTTTCTTTCTTTCTTTCTAGATTTTATTTATTTGTAGAGAGAGGGGAAGGGAGAGAAACACTGATACGTGAGAGATACATCGATGGGTTGCCTCTTGTATGCCCCTAACTGAGATCCTGGCCGGCAACCCAGGCATGTGCCCTGACTGGGAATCGAACCAGTGACCTTTCGGTTTGCAGGCTGGTGCTCAATCCACTGAGCCACACCAGCCAGGGTGAGGTGCCCTTTCTTAAAGATCTTTGGCCCCACTACGAACCCTGACAAAGCGATGACCACACATACGAACAGTTGTTAAAATTAAGGTAAACCCCCCTCCCCCAACACACACACACACGCGCACACACACACACACACACACACACACGAACCAAGCAATCTGACATTCATTCCTACAGATCATTTGAATGGCCTGTTTGGGTGGCTGCTTCCACTCCATCAGCTCTTCTTGAGCTTTCTTCTGCCTGTGTCCCCCGACCCCGGACCCTTCTCAGGCAAATGCTGATGCCTCTTCAAGTTGACCTTGGAGAGATGAGGTGGTCATCCATCCCCTGGGGAGAACCCCCTTCCTGTGCTTTTCTCCCAGGCAGGTGTACCGATCACATTTTTAATTTTATCTCTTACGATGCTTTGCTATTGTAGGGCCGCAAACCAACGATCCAGAGCCCCCAGCCACCTCCTTAATCTAACACTCCCATGCCCAGCCAATACCCCGGCCTGAGGTCCCTGCCGTGGCAGGTCCCCGCAACCAGAAGCACCCCTCCGGCCTAGAGCCTTCTGAAACTAGCCAGACTATGCAATCGTAAGCTTCTCAAACTAGCCTGCCCTGACTCGCCCATTCTCTGGGCCACCCTCTCTCTTTTCTTCTTCTGCCTCTGACTGACCCTCGTGCTTCCCCATGTGGCCCTGCATGGCGTGGGTTGCCCCCTCTTTTTGGGCGCTGTACGCTCTTCTCTCAAAGGCAGCCATCTCTACGTCTGGCACCTCACCATACCTGAGCAAACCAAAAATCCTGGGAATGCCATCAGCACAGTGGGGCCGTGTCCCAAGCCGAGAGAAGCAGCAAGAAAATCCCTGTGGGCCTCTATCCTTCCCTCCTCAGCACTGCCCTGGGCCGATGGGAACCTCTCCGGCTTGCTTTCCCTGGCGCTGGAAATGCTCTGGGCACCTGGTGACGGAGACCTTGGGAACCCCGGCTGAATGTCTGCGCCCCTGCCCCCCATCTCCCTCTGCCATTGTGATCTGACTTATTTATGGAACCAGTACTTGAAATACTGGGCGCAGCCAGCGTTTCCACACCAGAGCAGACAGACCTCCCTGCGTGCGCCAGACAAGAGGACAGGCATGAGAATTGACCCTCTCCTCCCCTGTAAATCAGCCCCGTCCCCCAGATTCCCACCTGGGGCCAAGAGGATTTTCTTAGGAAAAGCCCTGATTCAGGCAAACATCCCAGAGTAGGGAGCACATGGCTTTCTTCTCCCTGTAAATTACTCCCCGCCAAAGAGATCCCTCCACGGGTCTCCAGCTGAGGTTGCCGTAAATCCTGCGCAGGGGAAGGCCATTTATGGAGTGTTCTCTGGCTCTTCCCATAGTAACCGGTTGAAATCCAAGGTGCATATGCCAGGCTCCGTGTTCAGTGTCTCTCACTCGCCATGGAAATAGGCCCTTGGACAGGCGAGACGTGAGACTTCAGACTTGTGACTTCAGATCACAGAGGCAGGCAACGAGAGGGTGCTGACCCTCCCCATTCAGCTGGGGGCCTTCACTCTCATGGGAATGCGTCCCCATAGCTCATTGACTTGGCGGAGGCTGGGGCCACCTGTACAGAAAGCTGACCGCAGCTAAGCTGAGACGTGTGTTTGGAGGGGAGCCGCGTCAGGGTGGGACAGACAAGTGTGGCCCGGAGAGTCTACACAACCACACCCGCCCATGGCCCGTGGCGGCCCCCTGGCCACCAGCATGGCGGGCAGGTGACGCCGGGCTCCGGTCAGTAACACGCCCATTGTGTCTGTCCTTCCAGGGGCTCCCGTGCAAACACATCATCCCTCACCACCAGGAGCCCTCGCACCGCCATCTCATCGGCACCTACGACGACCACTACAACCGGCACAATTATAACCCAGGCCTGCCCTCGCGCCGCACCTGGGATAAGCATAAGCTGCTGTGGCTTCCAGAGAAAGCCGACTTCCCCCTTCTGGGTATTTTTATAATTCTGGATTTCCCCGTGTTGTGCTGTGAGGGGTCCATACCTGCCCAGGGCTGAGGTGTGCCTGGCTCGGGGGACCCTGGCTCATGGAGAGCGCGAGAGTGAGGTGATGGGGGAGGAGTCCTCTTGGCCCCTAGGGCTGCCACCTGCCCTCTCCCCTGGACACTGAGATGAGGCTGGCACTGTGACAAAGCCCTCACCTGGGCACCGACACAGCAGGTTTACCTGGAGCACAGGTGGCAGGAGCAATAGCTTTGCACGCTTGGATCAGGTCATTCATTTCCTAACTAGTGCTAAATCCCAGGTTCTGCCCCCATTGTAACCTCGGGACACATAGTGGTGACAAACAGGGAGGAACTTCTGCTCTCGGGGAGTTGACATTGCAGTTGGGAGACAGATAAGACACCACGAAGGAGTAAGACAACCTAAGATCTAGTCATTTCGGACTGGGATAGGTGCTCGGACCACAACGGGTAAGGCTAGGAAGTGAGGCAGGTGTTCCTGGATCCGCTCGGGGTGGGACCGTGAGGGCTGGGCCGTCCTGAGGAGAAAACTGAATTGAGAAGGAGAGAGCCACGCAGGGATTCGGGGGAAGGGCATTCCAGGGTGGGAGTAGCTCCAAGACAGCGCCAAGCCTTCTTGGAGGGATTTACCTAGGAGAGTAGCTTCGTCTGATCTATGATTCAAGCTGCCCCCGTCCTTTGCATCCCTCTCTTTGCGGTCCTGCCCTTCGAAGCAAAGGGACACAGGTCAGAGAGCGAGCTGCCTGTCACTCTGCATTACTTTTTGCAAGGGTTTCTTCATCTCTCAAGCCCACACTGCTCCCTTGCCTGCTGGGATAGGACAGTTACCCAAGAGCGGGCCGGGCCACCCTCAACCAGGTCATGGGGCTGACTTTTCCGAGGCCTCCTGGTCCCTCTTGAGGACGCAGGGAGCACCCCAGCCTCAGCTCCAAGCGAACACCCACCCACAAGCCTGTAAGCCTACACCCTCCCTCCCGTGCACTGCCAGCTAAGCCCCCGATCCCACGGCCTGGGGAAACCTCCAGGGTCCCACCATCCACTCCCACCCCAGACCCTGCTTTCTCTTGCAGCTCCTCCTACAAACTACGGACTCTATGAGCAGCTGAAGCAGAGATGGTTCACACCCGAGCCTGGTCTGCGAGGGAGTGTTTACACTTTGTCCTACCCCCGACCACCGCTGTGTGCTCTGTCCCGGAGGGAGCACGCCATCCCGGTCCCTCCGCCTCGCCTGCACCCTGTCCCACGCTTCTGAGAACTGCCACCCCACTGGAGACCCGCTGCGTGATCGGACCTGCCAGATGGCAGGCCCTGCAGGGCCGCCCTGAGCTCTCAGTCCAGCCCATTGCAGGGCCCTCAGAACTGCGGCCTGTGCCGCAGGGTTCCCGTCCCTCTTCCACCACCGCAGGTTCCAGTCTTTCCCGTCCCACAATTAAAGCTCTTTGACTCAGTGGAGGGTCATGCATGTGCATAAGACGAGGCTGTTAGAAGAAACTGAAGGGCTCTTAGGTTTTACTCCCTCACTTCATGGGAAGGGGACATGGAGGCCCCGAGAGGTAACGTGACTCCTTCAAGTTCTCACAACTTGGTATATACCTTCCAGGAGTCTCTGATCCAATGGGAGAAATGAATCTGACTACAAGACGCTTCTCAAAAACTCCGCGGCATAGTCAACTGTGGTTGGGGGGCGGGGGCCGCACAAAAGGAGTCCGGTGTGTCCGTCACTGCCCTGGCAGACGCGCACTTGAACCCAAGGGCCCAGAGAAAGGGAGGACTCACGGCGTCTCCTCTCCACTCCCTAACTCTCAAATCTTTTTAGGAGTTTGGGGGTGGGACATTTTTTGGTGAGTGTTTGGGAGTAAGGTGGACCCCCTGAGGCATGAACTCGGGTGGTGTCCTCACCCAGAATGGAGTCCCCTGAGACACATTCTACCACCCGATGTGGAGGTCACCTCAGTGGAGAACAGCATGTCCCTGATCTGCCCCCTCTGACTGTTGGGGATTTGACACACAGAGTCTTCCTGTGAATGGCCTTTCTCTGCCTCACGCCTCCACCCCAACTGTGTGCATTCACTGCTGTACAGACAGCGCTGGGTATACAGTGGGCGCTTACTAGTCCTTGGCTGGATGAGTGAATGAACCACTGTCTTCTGGGAGCTCCCCCACGAACCCACACTCTGCCCCACTCTATACGTCCCTCTTGTTCTCCAGTTTGAGCCTCCGTCCACCTGCTGCTTGCTGATGTGAGAACATGCCACCTGGAAGCAAGATCTCAACAGACCAAGGAAAATGCTTCAGGGGATGAGTCTGTGGTTTCTTGTATACATTTGGCATTAGGGAGGCAACATAAGGAGAATTGCGTGAAGGTGGGAGAAAGCAGGGGGGCGGATTGGATTACAGAGTAGCCAACGAGCTCATGCACTCTCTGGAGGGGGCTATGATCCCCATTCTGAAAAAGAGGCACTTCCAAGGCGTGTTAACCTAGATGCACAGAAGCAAGGGACAGGGCTGGCTGAAGGCGAAGGTAAGCCTTTCAGAGGCCTGGGGCGTGAGCACCCACCTCGACCCACCCGGGCAGGAATTTATGACCTGCTCACCCTGTGAGGTTGCTCGCTTTCAGGTAGATTGATTACAGAGGCCCCTTTCACCCCATTCTTTTTGTTCACGGTCCTAAAACCCTGTATGCAGGCCCTGACTACTCTCAGGCCTAAAGGTCTTCTCCCCAGAGCTCAGCTTCTCCCCCTCCCGACTCCAGGGGTGACTTGGCCAGCCTCAGAGAGGAAATCCGCGCCCCGCCTCTGCGTTCCTGAGAACCTGGCCACCCACCCACGCCACTGCTGCCAGCGCATCTCCCCTCTTCTGTCACCAGAACCAACCAACCACAAATAAACAACAGAAACGCGGATGCATGGAACTACTCGTCTATGAAATTTTTTCTCACTTTTTTTTTTTTTTTGTCACTTGCTACCACATCGTAGCAAATAATCAAGAAAGTGGCAAGGAAAAAAAATGGAGTTAGTATTTATTGTGGGGAACCAAGAGCCGGGATCTGGGCCTGCAATGGATGGTGTCACCGACGGTCACCACCGTTAGCCATGACCGGTACCCCAAGGTAGGGTTCGAAACGTCATTTCTGCTCATAGATGAAGCTGAGCTCCTCTGTTTCATCTGTGCAGTTTGTTTATTTTTGCTACAGCAGATTCTGCCGTGAAAACAACGTAGTACATTATGGATCTGATGCCCTCTAAGGTTTCCTTTAGCCATAGCAGGAGCCTATGGCTCTCGAATGACATTGCAAAGCACTAAAATGAGCAGTGTATTCCCTGGCGCTAGGATCTCAGGGTGTCACATTCAAGAGCACGGACAAACAGGAAGGCCTTAGAATTCCACCTCCCCCGCTTACAGGCTGCAGGGCCTTGAAGGAGTCCCTGTCCCTCTCTGAATCGCTCTTCCTCTGTCAGTGACCATCTCTAGGGCAGATAAAACTACTGAGTCCAGCAAGTGGGTGCAGAGTAAATCCTCCATACATGTTAGTGGCTGTTGCTCGACATTCAAAGACAATAGACGTAATTAAGTGTCCAGGCCACAGAGGACAACCCAGACCTGAGGCAGAGTCTGCACGCGGGTCAGCTGTTCCTTTGCTGAGAGGGGAGGCTTTGGCTCTGGAACCTAGCACCCCTGAGCTCTGCCTGCTGGCTGGGACAAACCTGCCCCCTGGTGGCCAAACATGGCACCAATTTACTTATTTATTTAAGATTTATTTTTAGAGAGGAAGGGAGAGAAACATCGATGCGTGGTTGCCTCTCGTGCGCCCCCTACTGGGGACCTGGCCTGCAACCCAGGCATGTGCCCTGACTGGGAATTGAACCCTTGCTTCACAGGCCGCACTCAATCCACTGAGCCACGCCCACCAGGGCAACACACCAATTTACGAGTGGCCAACAGTCCGGCTGGGCCCTGTGGCCTGCCCCAGGATGACCCTGATGCAGGCAGAAGGGACCCTGTATCCCTTTGCTGCAGACCTGAGACAGACCTCGGCCAGGGGCCTGGCTTTGGAACTTGCTGGGGCTCAATCCTCTCCCGCAGTTTGCTGAGCTAATCTCGTCTTCCCTGGGGCAGACACGCTTTTCCTCTGGGGAGACACAGAAGACAGAATCTCCCTTTTTGCCCTCAAGGATGACACTCTCCACTGCAGCCTGCCCCCTTTTAGTTTCTCAACTCACCCAGAGAAAAGTCTCTCAATCTCCCTTCTCTCCAAGGAAACCCCCGTGTGTTCCATGGTGTTGGGGCATCCGCAGGGCCCCACCAGGCTCCGCCCTGCCCAGCCCGCACCCCTGTTCCTCGTGGTGGTTCTGACCTGACCTCCTTCAGAGAAGCCTTCTGGTCTGGAAGACCAGTCACCTCCTCAACTGCGCGTCCCTTGCTCCGTGAGTGAGCTCCTGATCTGCTATTTTTCCTGACATAAAACCTAAGTGAAAACCTGAGGCACAGACGCGCTTACTTTCTTCTCTTTGGGGATGACACCATTGTCTTCCCAATGCCGTTTTAAACCTGGAACATTTTGATCATCTGGATGTGGCCAAAGACCCCCCCAACGACGATACTTTCAGATTTTGTTCTTTTCTGTCTAAAGTCAGGAACCAATGACACCCTTCCCTGTCTCACACCGAGGGTGACAACGGCTGGGCCCTCAGTAACTCTCAGCCCTGAACTTTGCCCCTCCCTAATTCTCTCCCTTTCTTAAAGGGTTGTCTGATTCAATCAATTACTCTGGAGAAAAGCTAAGATCCCATCAGGATTAAAGGATAGAGACTGAGGAATCTAATCAGGTATTGATTTCTAATTGGATGTTGATAGTTAAAAAGCGGGAGATGCGATTACAAAGACCTAAAAAAGCCTTGGACCCTGAAGGAGAGGCACGGAAACTCCAGGTCTGGAGTCGCCCTCTGCCCGGGGTCCTCACCAGGCCTGAGGTCTGGGCACGGCCGTGCCATCAGCGGGGGTAAGCTACCCACCTCCGCGGAGGACCACCCTCTTACCTAAGGCAGCGGCCTCCCACGGTGACTCGCAGCCTGAGATGGCAGGAGATCTGTCCTTTTTCTTTCTTTTCAGGCCAGTAGAGTTAAGTCTTCGGTTTTGCCTCTAAGTGTCATTTTGCCTGAATTCCGAACATTTTGATTTGTGATTTGGTTTATTACTTTTAAATATCTTAACTGAGCCGATTTTATTTTATTTTTTGGTGTTCCTTCTTTTTTTTTTCTTTTTGTTCTTTTCTTTTTTTTCCCCCCTGTTCTTTTTTTCATTTGTTCCTTCTTATTTTCTTTTGTGCATGTGTTTTTTGTTTTGTTTTTGTCCCATTTAAAAATGATAAAGATGAATGGCATGCATTTGACGGCCTTTTCCTAAGCTTCCCCAGTGGGTTAACTGTGGGAATGGAGGGTGTAGACTGTTTGGGCCGCATGATGTCTCCGTTTCCATCTCTTCAGGGCAATGGTCTGAAAGTTCTCCCGCCACAAGGGTGAGGTCAGCTTTCAGGCTCCGCAGTACCCACTTCCCACTCGAACTGGAACTAAATGTATGGGTGCTTCTGAGGTGCTTGTCCTGGGGCCAGAAGGGGCAGACTGGAACTGGGTAAACTGAGGCCCTCACCATCGCCAGGCAGTGGTTTTGGCCCTGAGTTGGATCCTCCGAAGGGCGCGGTGGAAGATTGTGGGGTGCTCATGCTTGGTCTGACAGGGGTGCCTTGTTCCCTAGACGTTTCCGTGGGATTCCTGCCAGAGCAGAACGCAGATGAGCGTCCAGACCCCACCCAGGCTCCTGGACCTGGCGGGACAGAGCCTGCTGAGGGACCAGGCCTTGGCCGTCGCGGCTCTGGAGCATCTGCCCGCTGAACTCTTCCCACCGCTGTTCATGCAGGCCTTCTTTGGGAGACACAGAGAGACCCTGACGGCGATGGTGCATGCCTGGCCCTTCGCCTGCCTCCCTCTGGGGGGTCTGATGCAGATGCCTCAGCGCGGGACCCTCCAAGCTACGTTCGATGGGCTTGACATCCTGCTTGCCCAGAAGGTTCGCCCCAGGTGAGGCTGACCCGGGAGGGTCCGGGGTACGCTGAGGAGAGCTGCGGTCAGGCAGCACGGAGGGCCGAGGGGGTGGGCCAGAGGTTTCTGAGGTGACAAGAAAGTCGGAGAGAAAAAACATGCCCTGCGTCCTCCCCATGGTACTTAAAGGCACTAGACGTGCTGACCAGGAAGCATGGAAGGGAAGCAGATGGAGAAAAGCAAAGCCGAGAGGGAAGAGGAGGGCAAAGGAGAAGCCGATGTCGGGCGCCAAGTGGAAGCTCAGGGGAGTGGAGTCGGATTGTTGCCTGAAACTCTCAGACGCTCCGTCTCATTCTGTTGATCTTAGAGCATCTCAGCCAATGCCCTGTTTTCCCACAGGAGGTGGAAACTGCAGGTGCTGGATTTGCGCAACACCAACCAATGCTTCTGGAGCATGTGGTCTGGGGCCCGCACCCAGGTGCACCCACGGACCAGACCGGCGGCCGCGCGTGGTTCGGGGATGCGGCAGCCCGCGGCCCCCTTGGAGGTGCTCGTAGACCTTTGCCTCAGCAGCAGGATCCGGGATCGATTCTTCCCCGACCTCATCCGGTGGGCCAAGCAGAGAGAAGGTTTACTCCACCTGTGCTGTCAGACGCTGAAGATTTTTGAGGTGCCCATCAAGGCTATTAAGGCCCTGGCGCTGGTGCGGCTGGACTGCATCCAGGAGGTGGAAGTGAATTGCCCCTGGAGCCTGTCCGCGCTGGGGGTGTTTGCTCCTTACCTGGGTCAGATGAGTAACGTGCGGAGACTCTCCCTGTCGCACATCCACATGCCGGCCTCTGAGGCGGAGGAGTGGGAGCTCCGCATTTCCCAGTTCACCTCTCAGTTCCTTTGGCTGCCGCACCTGCGGAAGCTCTACCTGGAATCTCCCGCCTTCCTCACAGGCCGTCTGGACCAGATGCTCAGGTGAGCTGTGCGACAGCGAGCGCCACAGCGGAAGGTCAAGTGCTTTGTCATGTGGGGTGCCCTGAAGTGTGGTATCACGTAACCCCCCGCCCCACCCCTCCGCAAAGAAAGATGGAGGGACAAACTGGGAGATGGGCTCTGGAAAGGGAAGCTATGCAGAGGGGGCTCAGAGCCAGCGAGGGGGGGGGGTTGTGGATTCTTCCTTTGGGAGAGATGTCTAAGTGAAGATGGCTTCAGAAGAGGTGAGCGAGGAGGAAAAGGCACGGGGCATCGAGTGTCTCCAAAGACGGGCTGTGCCCGCCAGCCGCGTGAATGCAAACGAGCCTGTCTCAGTTTCCCCATTTGCAAGAGGTGGTTTGTGTGCTAGGTAGTTACTAGGTGGGAAATGCATGTCTCTGGAGACTAGGGAGCAGGGGTGCAAAGGGTGACCAAAAGGGGGAGGTGGCGTGCGGGCAGCCTCTGCAGACTGGTCACCCCAGCTGGAGGTGCAGGATCTTGCCCGGGTGTGTTCTTCTGCCCCAGAAGAACTAGCCTCACATGGCCCAGGTATCCCGGCACCTGGGGCCCAAGGCACGGATGGAAGGAGGCTCTGAGCTGAGAGTGGTTTTGGTTTTGTCCCCCAATATTAAGATTCAGGGGTGCCCACCCTTGATCGAGACACTGTCAGGCTCTCTGCACATGTTCCAGTGTTTTCCATTATATCCATCCATCCTCCTAAGTGGAGTGCTCTGCCTGACAGGCGAGGGAAGGAGGCTTTGGAGATTTCGTGAACTTGACCCAGTCACATAAGTGAAGGTGAAAGGACTCCGCCTGAAGCAAGGCCGCGCATCCTGGCCGTTGACCTTCCTCAGACCATCAGAGCCACCTTGCACGTGGACGAATCGGTCCTCTGCCACCCGGAGGCCCCTTGCCCCGCCACCCACTCCCCAGAACTAACAGCCCTGTCCCTCCCCAGGTGCCTGCAGACCTGCCTGGAGACCCTCTCCATCACCAATTGCGTGCTCACGGAATTGGACTTGATGCACCTGTCCCTGTGCCCGAATCTCGGTCAGCTCAAGGACCTGGATCTGAGCGGCGTCTGCCTGACCGGGTTCAATCCCGAGCCCCTCCGAGCGCTGCTGGAGGACGTCGCGGCCACGCTCCAGCACCTGGACTTAGTTTACTGCGGGATCAGGGACTCCCATGTCAAGGCCATCGTGCCTGTCCTGAGTCGCTGCCGCCAGCTCAGGGCCCTCAGCCTGTCTGGGAACCTGCTGTCCCTGGCTGCCCTGGAGGAGCTCCTGCGCCACACAGCCGGGCTGCGCAGTCTAAGCCATGAGCTGTACCCGCCCCCTCTGGAGAGCTACAGCGCCCAAGGGGTGCTCGAGCCGGGGAGGCTTGCCCAGGTCCGGGACGCACTGACAGGGATTCTGAGGGACTTAGGACAGCCCAGGACCATCTGGCTTAGCACCAGCCCCTGTCCTCGTTGTGGCCAGAAGGTATTCTATGATGTGGAGCCCATTCTGTTCTCCTGCAATAACCCTGCTTAAGGGGACATGCAGCAGAAGCTTCCTCCTGGGCGCTGGAAAGCTGAAACCGAGGACCGAGGTACACACCAGGGTGCAGACACGTGCTCCGTGTGAAACGGGAAAGGGAGGGGACCTGGCCAGGGTGCAGGATTGCCAGGACAAACGCTGGGAAGTTGATGGGACGTTAAGTGATAAGTGTCCCGTAGAGTCAGAAACATGAATCTGAATTGCCAGGCGGGAGGGGTGATTTGGGCTTGAGGTGCCCAGATGAGCATTATCCTGCGGTGGACGGTTGTAAAGGAATGGTCAGAAATAAAGAAAATTTGCACGGCAACCGCCTGGTCCTCCATGATATATTAACCTGTTTCCCCAGTTTACACCTCAGGACTCTCCAGTTATTGATGGGGAAAAAAAGAAAAAGCAAAAGCACTGAGTTGTCAGGGTCAGAAAGTAGCCGCTCGGTCGAGGTTAGTTGGCAGGGCTCACAGCGCCGTCTGTATCCTCCCTCCAGTTCTCTGCTTCCCCTGGGGGCTTCCCTCACGTCCTTGTGGCTACTCTGGGTGTTCATACATCAGGGGCACACGAGGTGGACAAGGAGCCCTGGAAGCGAAGGGAACCTCACTGGGGACTCAGGCGGTGACCCGAGACGCAAGCATTCATCAGTTCTCCGGTGGGCCCGTAAGTCCCAGTCCCCAGCCTCTGGCTGCGCCAGGACGGGCTCACTGCGCCGGGCAGGGCCCTGCGGAGGGGCCGCCCACACTGCGGATGAACCGGGCCACTGGGCTTCCTCAGCCCGCTCCTGCCACCCTGCTGGGTCGCCGTTCTCCTGAAACTGAACGGCACGTGGCCAGGAAAAACACCGACATCCCTTTTAGCAAAACACGAAAATTATTCAGGCATATAACATTTTTTCTTCATGTGTCTATACTGCATTAAAAGTAGAAACTTTCAGGGGGCTAGGTCATATCGATAAGAGGCTGACTTTGTTCCCCTCACACCTCCCCACTCTCTGGGTCAGGGAACACTAGCATAGCAGGTTCCGAAATCAGCACGTAGGGATGGCTAACGGGATAACTGGGCGGAGGAGTGGCCTTGTGCTAAGCCACTGCCTCGTCCGGCCGGGTTCTGCTGACTCATCAGCAGGGTGCGCTTGTGTGTAGGAGATTTAGTTTAGGAATGGGCTCACACAGCCCCGGAGCCTGAGAAGTCCCACAGTCTGCCATCTGCCGGCTGGAGAACCCGCAAAGCTGACAGTGTGACTCCGTCCAAGGCCAGACGCCTGAGAACCGGGGGAGCCCAAGGTGTAACCCCCAGTCTGAGGCCAAAGGCCTGAGAACAAAGGGCAGCCGTTTTAAAAGTCCTGGAGTTTGAAGCCCTGAGAGCCAGGAGCTCCGATGTCCAAGGGCAAGGAAAGATGCGTGTCTCAGCCAGAGAAGAGAGAATTCATCCTCGCTTCCTTGTTCAGTTCCATTCGGCCCACAGGAGATTGGATGAAGCCCAACAGCCCCCCCCCCGCCCCCCCGCCCCGTAAGATCTCCTGTCTCCTTCGACCACCTCAGGCGCTAATCCCAGCCACACCCAGGACCGCTTTACCACTGATCTGGAAATCCCTTGGCCCAGCCATGTTGACACAAAATTAACCACTCCCAGTGACACCCTACCCAAAGAGCACCCAAATGAAGACTCCAAGCTGAGGATTCAGAGGCTGGCACTGTTGGGTGGGGGGACCTGAGGCAAGAACCTCAGGTTCCCTGTAAAATGAGGGTCATGGCACTCACTCAGCTTAGGGAATTCTTGCAGGATCCAATGAGATGATGCACGTCGAGGGCTTGGCACCGGGCCTGGCCTACACTAAGAGCTCAATAAATGGCTCTTTCCTTCCTTTTCCCTCCCAGCAGAAGCCCCCCCCCATTCTTCACCCCTCAATCTTATCCTCTACTCCTAAGAGCACAGGGCATGCGATGGGACTCGGCCTCTACGGTGGCCACCAAAGGTCCTGATTTACCCAACAGCTCTAGCCGTCAGGCTCTGGGGAGGGGTGGGGAGGTAGAGGGAGAGGGCATATGAACTGTAAAAGACGGGATTTTTCCCGGTGATTATCAGAAAAAAATGTTCAAGCCTCAGGTTTCGTATGCCACCTACTGGTCAGGCCAGGTGCCACATTAGTCTGGCAAGCAGGGATGTGCTGTCAAGTATTTTAAAAAATCTGCTCTTCCTACAAAAAAAATCCACCAAATTAAAAAAAAATTAAAAAATGTAGCCCTGGCTGGTGTGGATCAGTGGATTGAGTGCTGGCCTATGAACCAGAGGGTCGCCGGCTCGATTCCCCGTGGGAGCTAGTGACTGGGTTGAGGGCCAGGCGCCCGGTGGGGGGCACTCGAGAGGTGACCACACATTGGTGTTTCTCTCCCTCTCTTTCTCCCTCCCTTCCCTTCTCTCTAAAAATAAATAAATAAAAATCATTTTTAAAAATATAAGAAATAAAAATAAAAAACCTGCTATTACATAGATGCTATTTGAGTGTACTTGTGTTGTGGTTTATGCAAATATTAAAGATATAAATTGCCCTTTAGAATGATAAAGGAAATTTAGTGCTTTTAAGGAATGCACATGGATATTTTTAAAAAGTGTTTAACTTGGTTCGGAGCCTCAAAACAAACTTTAAAACTGATTTTAAAGATCAATGACCAAGAATTGCTTCTTCTTTAAAAGTATTTAGAAGATAACATTTTAGAGCTGGGAGGATAACAGTTGTATTTTAAAAAGAAGACTTTATTTTTGAGAGCAGTGTAGGTTCACAGCAAAATTGAGCAGAAGGTCGACAGAGTCCCTATAAACCCCCTGACAGTCCACCTGCGTGGCCTCCCCACGATCAACATCCCCCCCAGAGGGTACATTTGTTACAACAGATGGACCTACACCGACACATTCTTATCACTGAAAGTCCGTAACTAACATTAGGGTGCACTCTCAGTATTGTACAGTGTGTATGGGTTTTAGCAAATGTATAAAGACATGTATCCACCATTGTGGTATAGATAGTCTCTCTTCATTGCCCTAAAAATCCTCTTTGTCTTACAGAAGGTTGTTTTTTTAAAAAAAAACAAAATTTATTTACTTATTTCAGAGAGACAGGAAGGGAGAGAGAAAGATGGGGAGAGATACATCCATCGGTTGCCAATCACATGCCTTCAGCCCGGGACCTGGCCTGCAGCCCAAGCGTGTTTTCTGACTGGGAACTGAACCATTGGCCTTTCGGTCCGCAGGCCGGCGCTCAATCCACTGAGCCATACCAGCCACAGATACTTCCAGAAGTTTAATAGCTCTAGTTTTTACATGTAGATATATAATCCATTTCAAGTTCATTTTTATGTATGGTGCAAGTGAGTTTTGACATTTATTTTGTTCCCATGTGGATGTCTTCTTGTTGTGGTACTATTGAAAAGACCTTTATTTCCCCCATCAAATCACCTTGGCACCTTATCGAAACTGACCACACAAAGGTGAGCCAGCCTGCTGAAGGATTCTCTCTTCTGTTCCATTAACCTGCATGTCAGCATTGCACTGTCTTGATTACTGTAGCTTTTCATTGTCTCGAAATCAGATAGTGTGAGTCTTCCAAAAGATTATTGCTTTATAAAATTGATTTCAGGTTAAACAAAGTTGTTTGCATTTCCATATAAAGCTTAAAATAAGCCTGTCAATTGCGCAAAATAAAGCCTAATGGAATTTTGATTAGGATTGAATCTGTAAATTTGGGAAGACTGACATCTTATAATGCATGAATATGATGTCTTTCTCCATTTATTTAGGTACTCTTTAATTTCTTTCTGCCATGTTTTACAGTTTTTAATATATAGGTCGTGAACATACTTTATTCCATTTATACCTGGGTATTTCATGCTTTTGGATGCTGTTGTAAATGGTATTTTAATTTCAATTTTCAATTGTTTGTTACTCTTAGCTAGCATAGAAATACAGTTCATTTTTATACAATATATTAATCTTGTGTCCTGTGATTTTGCTTAATTCTCTTAGTTCTAGTGATTTCGGTGTGGATGCTGTAAGCTTCTCTGTAGAGATGTATATGTTGTTTGTAAATACAGACAGTTACTTCTTTTCCGGTTCGTATGGCTTTTCTTTCTTTTTGTTGCCTTGTGCCTGATCTAAGGAGAAAGTATTCAGTTCTTTATGATTAAGTATGAATTTGGCTATAGGCTTTTTTGAGACTGGTTTTTATCATATTGAGAAATTATCTTTTATTTCTATTTTGCTGAGAGTTTTTTAAAAATATGAACAGATTATTGAATTTTACCAAATGCTTTTTCTTTTTCTTTTTTTTTGCATCTATGGAGATGATCATATATGTTTTCTGGCTTTTATTCCATTGATACAGTTAATTATATTGATTGATTTTTCCAATGTTAAATCGATCTTGCTTCCTGGAATAAACCTCTCCTGGTAATTAAATCACCGGAAGAGATGTAGGGAGATGAAATTTTCGGGGCTTGGGTGGGGGGTGGGAGGCAGAGGTGATAAGAGACAGTGGCCATAAAGTAGGTGGTACATGGGCCTTCATTTTACTATTATTTTCCAACTGTATGCATATATATTTATGTGTATATATATATTACATATAGCCTTTTGTTTGTATGTATATTTCATAATAAAAATATTAACTACCACATGCTAATAAATTTGAAAATCAAAACCGAAAGGAAAAATTTCTGGAGAAATGTGAACTGCCAGAATTTGTGCAAGAAGAAACAAAGCCTGGAACAGGTGAATCAAAGAAATTGAAATGGTAATCCAGGAGACCACCCTCCCCCAAAGCCCCACTTCCGTGGGCTTCTCCACGCTGCTGGGTAACTCCTGTCCTACACAGGAAGCCCAGAAAGTGGACAATGGGAAAAGCTGAGCCATTAACTCTGTGGGGCCAGCTGTGACCTAGGTTTCACACGTGTAAGGACATGAGGAGGAAAGTGTGATAAATTATAGGCCCATATGGCGAAAATTCTTAA